CCCATCCTTACTGGCCCGTCCCTACTGGAACCCCACCTTGGAGCTCACAGAGCAGTGGGGTCCCTACAGGCCCTGCCTGGACAACATCCACCACCTGAAGCCGCAGCAGCTGCAACAGCCTCCATGCACCTTGGGCATCAGGGACCTTCTGAAGCACAGAGGCGAAGCCGCCCCAAAGCTATCCCCTCTCCTGAAAGGAGCAGATGCCCCACGAGGCCGGGATCATTCATCACCACCTCCTCCCTCTCTCAGACAAAACTATCTCTAACGCCTGCAGGTGCCCCTTCCTGAGTCCACACCAGGGGGTCACCCCTAGGGACCCCTGCAGAGCCTGCATCCCACTGTGCAGGGGGCTGAGAGCTGCAGGCGGGTCCTCCTGCCCCACATGCCCTCAGTGACCTGGGAGGAAAAGCGTCTACACAGCCTTGGCCTGGCACACAGTGCGGGAAGCTCTTTCCTGTGGTCAGAACTGCAGCCGCCCACATGGGTTCTTAAGGGCTTCCTCTCAGACTTGGGACTCTCCCCGGGATGCTGCCACCGCTTCTGCTGCTGCCCCTGCTGTGGGCAAGTGAGTGGGGGAGGGGAGGACCCCAGGTGGGGGCAGCACTGACCCTCGTCTCCCCACAGGGGCCCTGGCTCAGGAGGAGAGATTCTGGTTGCGCCTGCAGGAGCAGGTGACGGTGCAGGAGGGCCAGTGCGTCCTCGTGTCCTGTGACATCTCCTACCCAAGGAAGGTTACACTGAGCGCAACCCAGCCTACGGCTCCTGGATCAGAAACAGGGGAGGGTCTTGGGGTGCAGACTTTCCTCTGGTGACCGCAAACCGCCCAGGTCATGAGGAGCAGAAGGAAACACAAGGCCTATTCTACCTGCTGGGGGATCCCCGGACCTACAACTGCTCCCTGGACATCAGAGACACACAGAGAGGACACGGGGACCTACTACTTAAAGGTGGGCAGAGGTCATGTGAAACATAATTACCTGAATCACGAGTTCTCTGTAAATGTGACCGGTGAGGGCCAGGCGCAGGAGGGCCACATTTGAGGGCCCTGAGCACCCTGGGCGAGGCTGGGAGGGGACACATGTCTTCATCTTGTGAGGGACCCTGAGATCCGCAGGGAAAACTGGGCAGGGGCAGCCAGTCTGACATAGGCTGCCCCTGGGGACACTCAGGTCCCGTTCTAGGCCATATCTGTCCCCCCAGCGCTGACCCACAGGCCAGACATCCACCTCCAGGGCCCCCCCCCAGTCTGGCTGGCCCAGGAACATCACCTGTGCAGCGCCTTGGACCTGTGACAGAGGCGCACCCCCCACCTTCTCCTGGACAGGGGGGTCGGCCTCAGCGCCACGAGCACCCACTCCCCGGTGCTCACCCTCAGCCCGGGGCACCAGCACCACGGCTCCAACCTCACCTGCCGGGTGACCTTCCCCGCTACTGGTGTGAGCACACAGACCATCGTCCGGCTCAATGTGGCCTGTGAGTGTGGGGCCTGGACGTCCGCCCTAAGGGGTCCCCGGGGCAGCAGATGTAGGAAGGGGAGATGTGGGGTCTGGGGTCTGGGAACATTGATTGTGCTGTTAGGAGGGAAAGAGGCCTGTGGCCATATCCTCCCGTGTCTCACGTTCCTGGGGGAAAGGCCACTGAAGGAGAACAATTATGTCTGTTTTCCCAGATGCGCCCCAAAACCTGGACATCCAGCTGATCAGGAAAGAAGGTTCAGGTAGGGAGCAAGGTCGCCTCCAAAGGTGTGAGCGAAGTGGGGCCGCCTCGGCCCTTCAAAGCAGGGCCACGGTGAGAACACACATGGGAGAAAGGCCTTTGCCAGATGGGGGGCAGCAGAGTTGGGAAGCCCCACGGGCTCTTCAGCTCACACCCGAGCTACCCCACCACTGACCCTGCTCCCTGGGATGTCCTAAGGTCTCTCCCTTTTCTTATGATGTGCTTGTCTCCCATGTCAGTTTCACCTCCTCCTCCCGAATTCTGCCCTCATGCTTCTTATGATCTATCCAACTCCTTAGGATGTCCCACCTGCTACAACTTACTCTTTAAAATAATAACCAGGGCCTCCCCTGGTGGCGCAGTGGTTGAGCGCTGGTCTGTGAAGCTGCCCGCAGCCTCTGCAGCACCAGTTCGTTCCCCGGCCGCCAGTGAGGGTCCCACATGGTGCGACAGACCTCTCCTGCTGTGCCTGCTGCTCCCCTCAGCAGTGTGTTTCGTCCGTCTGTCTGCTCTGCTCCCCACTCTGGCTCTGGTGAATTCTCTCACCCTCCCACACTTGTGACTGTACCCAGCGCTTGTATAAATAATAAATAAATCTTTAAAAATAAAATAAAGACCATAAAATTGGCGTTAGTGAGCAAGGGCTGCAGAACGCAATGCCAAAAATGTGGTGGTCAAACCTCACAGGGTGAACCCCTACTAAAGGCCTGAAATCGACTCCCTCCAGGACCTGAAGCCCTGGGCAATGGCTCCTCTCTCCTCTGCAGGAGAGCCAGACCCTGCGCCTGGCCTGTGTGGTCCACGGCAGCCCTCCCGCCAGGCTGAGCTGGGTCCAGGGAAGACGGACCGAGAAGTCCTCTTCAAGCCTAAACCCCGTGGGTGCGGAAGCAGCGTGGAAGCACCCCCAGACCCTGGAGCTGGAGCTGGCCAGGGTGTACCTGGAGGACCACGGTGTACCTGCCGTACTCAGAACCCCCTGGGATCCCAGGAGGCCTCCCTGAGTCTCTCCGTGGAGAGGGAGTCATCACCCCTGGTCTGCTGCCCTGAGAGGGAGAGGCTGCCCTCATGGCCCCTTCAGGGCCTCCGTGGATTCTTATGGGGGTGCAGCAGGGCAGAGGCTGCCAACTTAGGGGCTGGGGGACAGTGAGGAGTCCTGGATGTCCTGTATCAATCGCTAAGTTTAAAACCCAAACCCCCTTCCTTGCCCAGCAAGTTTGGGAGCTGAATGGAAAAGGGGGGTGGATGGGGCTGCCCTGGGAACCGGACAATGAGCGGCTGATCCTCTAGACCCATCATCCCAAAGGGGACCCCAGGACCAGTCACCCCAACTGGCCATGATGCCTGGAGCACAACAGAGCCTCGGGGCCTCTCTCTCTGCCCAAAGACTCTCCCCGCATCCCGACCGGACCCCCGTCTCTCCTCCCCTCTCTCAGCGAGTGCATTTCCATGAGCCCAGCTTTTCTGCTCTCACCTGGTCTCTGGTGAATTCCCTCACCCAGGTCCCTCTGGCCTGACCCGATTCTCCCCCAGACCCTGGAGAGAAGCGGGTGCTCCCGGGCCTGGGAGTGCAGCAGCCTGGAGCCCTGGTGTCTGCTCAGGGCAGGAGTCACCCAGGCCTCTGTCTGCAGGCGCAGCGGGAGCGAGGACAGGGGGGCTTCTGGGGCCCTTGGTGGGACTGGGCGCCAAAGCCTTCATCTTGCTGGGCCTCGTCTTCCTCATGTGAGTCGGGGTCCACCTGAACCCTTCAAGGCAGTGAGGGGCCTGGGGTGGGGGCAAGGGGGGGGACACTCCTAAGCTGCCAGCCCAGGGATCAGGGCAAGTCTGACCCCTGGAGTCTCTGCCCAGAGCAGTCCCCACGCGCCTCCCACAGCCCTCCAGGCCCGGGCGAGCAGCTGGCTGAAGGGCCTGGTCTCCCTCCACAGAGTGAAGAGAAACAGGAAGAAAAGCACAGAAGGAGGCAGCAGGGAGCAGGCCAGGCCCCCAGGCCGCAGGGAGACCCCCGGGTTAAGTGACTCAGGGTCTTCTGCAGGCTCAGGTCAGCCTGACCTCTGGGGCTGTGCCTGGGGCTCTGCTCCAGGGCAAAAAGGGTTCCCTGGTCACACCCCGTTCCTCCCCTGGCCTCCCTGAGCTCTTGACCCAGAGACTGAGCCCCCCTCATCCCCTCCCGGGACTGACCAAGTCCAGGTCAGGCCCCCTCAGGGCAAAGCTTTTGTCCCCACCCCTCCCCCCCCCCCCCCAGCCCTCTGAGCCCTCTGAGCCCCGGGCTCTCACAGGGTCCCTGGCCTCTCCCAGCCGCCCCAGCTCCCCTCCCCCAAACAAGCTCTGGCAAGAAGCTCCCCGATAGCTGTCACTCAGCCCCAGCCCTGCCGCCCCCACATCCGGGTGGGGCAGAAATCCCCGGAGCCTCCTGCAGGGCTATCACTGTCCCGCGGGCACACTGCCCAGGAGGACAGACAGACAGACGCACGGATGTGGGGTCAGAGAGCCGGGTCCTCGGGTCCTGTGAGGAGAGTCTCCCCAGAGCGCCCCTTTCAGCAGCTGCGGGGAGTTCCCCCAGGCAGAGAGGCTGGGCACCCCCACAGGGCAGGGCATCAGATCACAGGGCCAGGGCGGAGGCGGCGGCGCAGAGACGGGCGGGCGCTGCCTCTCCAGGGCCTCGGCCTCGGGCTCCTCCGTGAGCAGCATGAGCTCCTGCTCCTCCCGTGCTCCCTGGGCCGGGCCTCGGGGTGGTTTCTATGTTGGGGCTCCCTGGGTAGATCTGAGGGGCCCGGGACTGTCCGGTGACCCCAGGCTCCGGGTCCCCCCGGGGCTGCGCCTCCGCACACGTCCCTCTGCAGCTCGTTCCCGCCTGTGCTCCTGCCCCTGGGACCCTCCCCGGGGTGTCACCAGGAGCCGCCATCAGTGTCCCCCAGAAGGGAGGTGGGGGTTCAGACCAGGGACAGGAGATCATGGAGATATGTTAAGGTGTGAGTGTGTGAGTGTGTGTGTGAGACTGTGAGTGAGTGAGTGAGTGAAGGACTCTCAGGCGTGGGTGTGACTGGACAAGGGAACAGACACCCCTGAGCCCAGGTCCCTTCTCCGGACCCTGAGGCTGACCCTGAGCCTTATCTCGTCCCTCTCCGGGGCACCAGGGTGGACCCTGGGCTGACAGCTCCCCGCACCCCCAGGGCCCCGCACGTCCCTCTCAGAGGAGGAGCAGGAGCTGCATTACGCCTCCCTCACATTCCCCAAGGTGAGCCCCAAGGCCTTTCCGGCCCAGGAGGCCTCCGAACACTCTGAGGCCAACGTCTGACATGGAGCCGTCCTGCCCTGCCCCCCTCCCGACTCTGGGGCGAAGCTCCTCCCTGTGTTCAGCCAGCTTGTGATCGCGCCATCAGGCTTCTGTCGAGGCTTCCTCAGTCTGTGATGCCCAGATCCTTGACTCTCCCTGCGATGCTGCCACCGCTGCTGCTGCCCCTGCTGTGGGCAGGTGAGTGAGAGGGGGGCCCACACCCACGCCCGGGCCCGGGGCTGCACTGACCCTCGTCTCCCCGCAGGGGCCCTGGCTCAGGATGGGAGATTCTGGTTGCGCCTGCAGGAGCGGGTGACGGTGCAGGAGGGCCAGTGCGTCCTCGTGCCCTGCCAAGCCGCCTACCCTGGGCCACGTTACACTGCGGGACGCACAGTTTATGGCTCCTGGTTCAAGAAAAGGGAAACGTCTTCAGGTGTAGGTTTTGCTATGGTGGCCACAAACCACCCAGGTCTCAAGGTGGAGAAGGAGACCCGGGGGCGATTCTACCTGCTGTGGGACCCCCAGAACTACAGCTGCTCCCTGGACATCAGAGACGCGCGCAGAGAGGACACGGGGACCTACTACTTCAGGGTGGAGACACAGAGTTCTGTGTTATATGATTTTATGAATCAGCAGCTCTCTGTACAGGTGACAGGTAAGGGCTGGGTGCAGGAGGGACACACCAGAGGGTCCTGAGAACCTCGGGCAAGGCTAGGAGGGTCCCCATGTCTTCACCTCATGAGGGACCCTAAGATCCGCGGGGAAAGGACCCTGGTGGGCGGGGCGGGCGGCCTGACACAGGCTGCCCCTGGGGACACTCAGGTCCTGCTCCAGGCCGTGTCTGTGCCCCCAGCGCTGACCCACAGGCCGGACATCCACCTCCAGCGGCCCCTCCAGTCCGGCCAGCCCAGGAACATCACCTGTGCGGTGCCCTGGGCCTGTGGCAGGGGTGTGCCCCCCACCTTCTCCTGGACGGGGGTCGGCCTCAGCACCATGGGCACCGACTCCCCGGTGCTCATCCTCAGCCCGGGGCCCCAGCACCACGGCTCCAACCTCACCTGCCGGGTGACCTTCCCCGAAGCGGACGTGAGCACAGAGACCACCGTCCGGCTCAGCGTGGGCTGTGAGTGTGGGGCTTGGACGCCCATCCTGAGGGGTCCCCAGGGCGGCTGATGTAGGAAGGGGAGACGCGGGGTCTGGGCCCCAAAGATCCTGCCGAGAGGAGGAATAGAGGCCCCTGGCTATATCCTCCCCGTCTCATGTTCCTGGGGGAAGGCCAGCTGACGGAGAACAATTCTGTCTGTCCAGATGCGCCCCAGAACCTGACCATCCAGGTGACCAGGGAAGAAGGCTCAGGTAGGGAGCAAGCTGACCTCTAAAGGTGTCGGGGAAGTGGGGTCTGTCCTGACCCTTCAAAACAGCTGGGATCTGAGAACACACATGGGAGAAGGCCTTTGCTAAGTTGGGGGCAGCAGAGATGGGAACCCCCATGGGCTCTTCAGTTCATACCCAGACTCCCCTGCCAAAGACCAGCTCCCTGTGTGTCCTATTGTTATAGGACAGGGAGAGGGGCAGCCCAAACCCCGCAAACCTGCCTATTCTACATGGGTTCTGCCATCCGCCGCATCAACACAAAACATAGGAGACTTTAATGGGACGGAACTTTAATAAAACTAGGACACAACACAGGTAAGGCAAAGAGTCTAGTTTCTAAATGAAGCATCCAGAGTTACCCGTCCCCTCGTGGGTAAAAGTCCATCCAAATGGGATTGGCCCAGAGCAAGGCCCCAAAGCCTGCCACAAGTCTAAAGCACCTTCCAGTGGGGACCCACAGAAAAGGGCCACAAACAACCGGACAAGCCCGGAAGGAAAAGAGCAAAATCAACATCAAGATAAAAGCTGCCATGGTCACCTCCCCATGGGTCTCACCCACATCTGTGTCACCCCGTCCACGACCAAAAGACAAGCGCAGTTTCTTCACGTGTCTCTAGGCTCCATGCGCCTCCTCCAGGTCTCCTTCTGGCTCCATCCTGCTTCCTTCCTTAGTCTCTTCAGCTTCTCCTCCTGCTCAGCTCCACCCTTCCTTGGGTGGGGCAGGGAACCTCCCCCTTTCCTGGGGACCACCCTGTTACACTATTGTCTCTTCCTTATCTGATGCTGTACATATCCCCAGTGCCAGGTCTACTTCCTCCTCCCCAATTTGCCCTCATGCTTCTTATGATCTATCCACCTCCTTAGCATCTCACTCCTGGGACAACTTACTTTTGAAAATATTGACCATAAAATTGGCCTCAGTCAGCAGGGGCTGCAGAACACAAGGACAGAGGGGTGACCAAAGCTCACAGGGTGACCGCCTATGAGAGCCTGGACTTGACTTTCTCTCTCCCCAGGACCTGAAGCCCTGGGCAACGGCTCCTCTCTCCCGGTGCAGGAGGGCCAGTCCCTGCACCTGGCCTGTGTGGTCCACAGCTACCCTCCTGCCAGGCTAAGCTGGCTCGGGGGGAGCCTGACCATGAAGTCCTCTCCAAGCCTAAACCCCGTGGGTGCAGGAGGCGCATGGGAGCAGCCCCAGACCCTGGAGCTGGAGCTGGCCGGGGTGCGCCTGGAGGACCACGGGAAACTCCTCTGCCGTGCTCAGAACCCCCTGGGCTCCCAGGAGGCCTCCCTGAGTCTCTCTGTGGAGAGTGAGTCAGCACCCCCAGGGCTTCTGCTGCCCAGAGAGGGGAGAGGCTGCCCTGATGCCCACATCACCCCCACAACACCCCCCTCCCACACACAGCAGCGGGGCCCCTCCTGGTCCTGTGACCACCAGGGTCTGCTCTGCAGCTGCCCCTCCCCGTGCTGGCAGCTGGTGGCCTCTGCTCAGGGAAGGGACATTGACCTTGTTTCATGAGGACAAGAGGGGGGAGACCCTGTGGTTGTTGGGAGTTTTTTTGGGGGTGGGACGGAGGCTGCAGCTGCAGAGGGTGGGGGCCCAGAGTACAAGTCCTGGAGAGAATGGGCCCTCCCGGTCATGGGTGAGGCCCTGGGTGTCTGGTGTCTGCTCAGGGAACAGGGGTCACCCAGATCCCTTTGTGTTAGGTCCACAAGGAGCCAGGACGTGGGTGGTTCCGGGGGCCGTCGGGGGAGCAGGAGTCTCCGCCCTGCTCGTACTCTGCCTGGTCTTCTTCATGTGAGTCGGGACCCTTGAAGACCTCGCAGGCTGGGAGGGCGCAGGGGTGGGGGGAGGAGGAGACAGGAAGAGGCCAGAGCTCCCCAACCAGGGCTGGCGGCCTGTGGGGTGAGTCAGGGGCTGTGATGCTGAAACCCCCCAGCAAGTCTGTCCCTGGGGCCTCTGCCCAGTGCAGCCCCCACCCGCCTCCCTCAGCCTTTGGCTCCTGGGCGAGCAGCGGGGCTGAGGGGCCTGGTCTCCTCCGCAGAGTGAGGTGCTGCAGGAAGAAAGGGACGGAGGCAGCAGGCAGCAGGCCGGGCCCCCAGGCCACAGGGAGAACCCCCGGGGTGAGTGTCTTCCTGCAGGTGGGGCTGGACCCTCTCTACCTGAGCCTGTGCTGGGCCTACAGGGAAAAACGATTCCCCATCAACACCCTATTTCCTACCTGGCTTCCCTTAGCTCTCAACCCTGAGGCCTGAGCCTCCCCTCACTGCCCCCAGCACCAAGGCTAGGACCCACCAGGTTCAGGGCAGGCACCACTTGAGCAAAGCTTTTCTCCCTCTTCCCGTCCCCGCTAAGACCTCTGAGATCTGGTTTTCTAGGGTCCCTGGCCTCACCCCACCACCCCTGCTCCCCTCCCCAAACAAGCTTTGGCAAGAGGCTCCCCAACAGCTGTCACTCAGCCCCAGCCCTGCCACCCCCACATCCGGGTGGGGCAGAAATACCCGGAGCCTCCTGCAGGGCTATCACTGTCCCGCGGGCACATTGCCCCGGAGGAAAGACAGACAGACGCACGGATGTCGGGTCAGAGATTTGGGGTCCTGTGAGAAGAGTCTCCCCGGAGCTCCCGTGTTGGCAGCATGGGGGTAGTTTTCCCCCCAGACAGCTACATCTAGTGACACGCAGGGGCAGGGGCATCCTCTCACCGGGGAAGGGCGAGACACCGCGAGGGCAGGAGCTGCCTCGGGCAGGGCAGAGACCGCACTGACACAGGCTCCTGCTGGGGGCCCATCCTTTGTGGAATTGCACCTGTTGTTTAACTCCTTCTGGGGTGACCAGCAGGTCTGGAAGAACCGGGGATTCTCTGCACTGGCTCCCCCTGCAACTCCCCTCTGGCCTGCACCCCCAGACCCCCCTCCAGCAGCGTGACCCCTGCTGGGCCTCGGCGCCCCTGGGCTTCTCCTTCCTCAACACTCTGTCCTGCGTCCCCGCCTGCGGGTTCTGGTCTACGCCGCCCCCGCCTCATGTCCCCTCTCAGCCTCCCTCACCACCAGCCCCCCTGGCGTGACTGACTCACCCACACCCCCCGCGGTGCCCACACCCTTGCACACCTGCTCACAGCCCAACTCCGCCCGCGATGGCGCCTCTGCTGGGGAGAGTCTGTGGGAACATGTGGATGCCACGGACACAGCAGCTCGCGTCTGACCCGCCTCAGGTCCTGTCCTCTCTCGCCACGCGGGGCTGTGTCACCCGGCAGGGAGGGGGCGCCCAGATCCCCCAGCCCTGCCCGCCTGGCATCGGTTCTGCCATCGCCATATCCAGACAAACACAGTCCAGCGGGGAGAGCGGCAGGGACAGGAGGTCTAACGCCGTCAGTCCCCGCCCAGACAGGACAGAGAGTAAAGGGTTAAAGTCAAGCACCAAAGTCACCGTCCCCTGCGGGTAAAAGCCCAGACACAGGGCGCTGCCCAGAGCAGGGCACTGAGGCCCGAGCCTGCCACGCATCTAGGGCCCCTGCTGGGGGGACCACAGGGAAGGGACAGGAGGGCCCAGGCCTCCCCCCAACCCGCCCCCCACCCCCGTCTGTGTCACCCGCCCAGGGCCAACACAAGCGCCGCATCTTCACTGTCTCTGCTCACACTGTCTCTGCTCACGTGCTTCCCCGCACCTCCTGCTCCCCATCTTCCTCCTTCCTCCAGGCCCCTCTCCAGCTGCTTCTCCTCCCTGCTCAGCTCCAGCCCCCTTGGGTGGGGCGGGGAACCTGGCACCTCCCTTTTCCTGGGAACCCTCGGGTACAGCTGGAGGCTCTGCGCCTCCCCCAGGGCCCACATCCCTGTCCCTGGCTCTGGGACTCCCTGCCCAGCTGCAGCTCTTCCCCCCCGCCCCCCAACTGATCAGTGCCCGGGCAGGGCCCTGAGGGGACTCTGCACCTGGGGCTCCTGTCTGGTCCTCCCCACCCGAGGGCTGGAGACTTAGAGTCTTTTTTCCCCATTTCAACTCACCCCCTGGGCCCGGCAGGGGAGCGGTCACAGGGCTGTGCCCACCCACTGCCCGCCCTGAGACAAGCCACGTCCACTGCACACCCCAGGCCCACCCACGGCCCCCGTGCTGCCCTCACACCCAGATTTGCAAGCAGAGAAGCTTGCATGGGATGCAGGGATCAACGGACGCCGCCCCTGGCCTGCAGGACCCCCAGGCTGGGTCTGTGTGCTGGGGGCACCGGCTGCTCCTGTGTCTACATGTCTGTAAAATGCAGCGACGGTGACATCAAGAGGCGGGGTGGGGAGGGGAGGAGACTAGTGATAAGAACAAGCCGTTAGGATGAACATCTGTTAGAGGGGCCTTCACCCCGCTGTGAAGCTGTCCACAGCCTCTGCAGTGCTGTTTGATTTCTGGCCGGCCAGGGAGAGTCCCACATGTCACACTGCTCCTTCAGCAGTGCGTTCGGTCCGCCTGCCTGTTCTGCTCCCCGCTCTGTCTCTGGTGAATCCTCTCTCCCTCCTCTGGCCTGTACCCCAGCTCTCGTACACATAAATAAAATCTTAAAAAAAAAAAAAAAAGAAAACCTGTTAGAGGTGAGCGCAGGTGAGTGAGTGAGTGTGTGTGAGTGTGAAGGGCCCTCAGGCGTGGGTGTGACTGGACAAGGGAACAGACACCCCTGAGCCCAGGTCCCTTTTCCAGACCCCGAGGCTGACACTTGAACCTTATTTCTTCCCTCTCAGGAGCACCAGGGTGGATCCTGGGCTGACAGCGCCCTACACCCCCGGGGCCTGGTGGTGTCCCCCTCAGAGGAGGAGCAGGAGCTGCATTACGCCAACCTCGGGCTCCCCAAGGCGAGCCCCAGGGCCCTTCTGGTCCAGGAGACCCCCGAGTATGCTGAGGTCAACGTCCGACATGGAGCCGCCCTCCTCTGACCCCCTCCCGACGCTGGAGCCCCAAAAAGGCCTCTGAGGACAGCGGGTCCTGCGCTCCCTGCAGAGCTGACACCTCAGCGAGGTCAGAAAGGCGAGCTCGGGGCTCCTGGGACAGATGGAGCCGGAGCTCCTGGGGTCACGCCCAGCCCAGCCGCTTAGACACGCGTCTCCGCTCACTCTCCGGCCTCAGCAACCTCCGCTGCAAAGTGGGTGCATGTGCACAAGGCGGGAAATGCACCCCGAGTTGCCACCTAGTCAGCTCCCCTCTCCCCCACGGCCCTTCTGCTTGGCTGTTCAGGAGCGTGTGGAGGTCCCAGTGTGACTCTGTTCCTCAGGGTCACTCTCTGGGGAGACCAGTTTCCTCATCCAGCTAAACATGCACATAAACCCCGGCTGGGCTCTGAGGCCTCCCCAGTGTCTGAAAGCACAGAAGTAGGGGTGAGAGCCTCAGGGTTGAGGACGTCCTAAGTGAGAGGTGTCCCCCGGACAGGCCAGCGCCCCGTGAGCCGGGACAGGAGGCCCTGAAGAAACCAGCCCTTAGAGCCGGGGCCAGAGCGGACCCAGGAGGGGACAGGGAGCGGCTGGAGGAGGCGATGCAGTGACAAATGACTGGTCCCTCAGATAAGCATGAACAAGTTTGTCTTTCCCCTATTTCTTGCCATTCCCCCCTAGTTTGACAGGTTTGTCTTCTTGCATTCCAAGGAGAGTAACGAGTAGAGCAAGTGCGCGCCCACCTGCCTCTGACGTGGCCCCTTCCCCTTGGCAGACCCTCGCCCATCTCCCCCTTTGTTTAACTTTTGTATAAAGACACTGCACCCTGCCCAGGAGCAGGACGGCTGTCCCTCAGACATGAGGCTGCTGCCTCCTCCTCTGTCCACAAATTAAACCACTTCTCTTTTCCTCAAACTCCGTTTCCATTCATTGGCTGAGGGGAAGGGAGGCCGAGGCCGCCGTCCGTATCAGAGGGTCAGCCTTCCAGTGTTGCAAAATCAAAACCTCCAGACCTAGTGGCCGGCCGTGGGACTCTGGTTACCCCCAAACCACACTCTGGAAAATGAACGAGGTGGTAACGGTTGTTAGGTTTTCCCCTAATTAAGCAAAGCAACAGCTGGGGGTGACCAGGCCTGGGCCGGGCGCCGGGCGGGAGTCACAGTTCCCGGGCAGAGACCCAGGGGAGGACGGTGAGAAGGTCTCGAGACGGCGGAGGTGTGACGGCGGGACCAGACGTGCTGGGCCTCAGGGACACGTCACCGAGGTCAGTGCTGGCTGCGCGCCCCTCCGCACCCCAAAATGTTTGCTGGGAGAGAGCCAGTGTGGGTGCGGATGGGGACCGGCTCGCGGAGCTGCCAAACCGCGTGGAAACATGTGGGGGCTGCGGGGACGCGGAGACAGTTACCCCAGGCCGAGCGGTCACACTCCCCGGCCCTCGAGCACGACAACAAGAGGGAAGGGACGAGGTGTTGGGGTGAACGTCTTCCGGCCCCAGGAGCACCCCAAGGCTCAGGCTCACACTCCCCACGCGACGTGCCTTGTGTGTCTGTCACAGACCATCAGATCCATTTCCTGCAGACTCTCAGCCCCGGGCCCCGCCGCACACTCTGTCTGGCCTGTGTCCTCACACCCCGGCCATGGACACGGCCCCGACCTGGCCTGGACCCCAGTCTCAGCCCTCAGCCCCGTCTCTCTGGCTGCTCCTCCACAAAGACTGAGGGGCCCCTTCCTGAATGGGGGAGTCAGCTCCTCCTCCCGCCCCCCAGGGCTGGGAGCTCCCCTGGCCAATGTTGAACACCCCATGGCCGACGGCCAGGATGCTCAGGGCCCAAGGCCAGCATGACCTGCTTCAGCCCTTCTCGGGATGCTGGGAAGATTCTGGAACATGATGAAAGGAATATTACTGCATCTAAATTTAAAGTAACTAAAAACAGTGTTTTAACATTTAAATTACATTTACACAATTAATTACAATATAATTACATGTACAACATAATTAATTTGTATATTTAATTTATATATTAAAACAATATTTTCAGTTACTTTTTTTTTAAGAATTATTCATTTTATGCACACAATAGCTGGGGCACAAGCCAGAGGTGTGTTGGTGAGAGGATTCACCAGAGACAGAGCGGGGAGCAGGACAGGCAGACTGACTGAAACACACTGCAGAGGGGAGCAGCGGGGAGACAGGAGAGGTCTGCTGCACCACGTGGGTAGCTCCCTGGCTGGGAACGAACTCGTGCTGCAGAGGCTGCGGACAGCTTCACAGCACGGTGCTCCACCCAAGGCGCCACCAGGGAGGCCCTATTTTCATTTACTTTAAGTTTAGATATGGTAATCACTTTGTGGTTTTAATGTAAACATTTAAGATAATATTTTTATCTAGTGTGAATTTACATAGACTGATTCTCACTTTTTAGGCACCTCAGCACCACCAGGATTGTCCCTGTTTAAAGACACCAGGTCGGGTGTTAAGCAGAGGTGGACACTGGGGGTCCGGGCCCCTGACGGCGGGTGGGGAAGTCTGAGCATTTGTACAACTTGGCAATCGCTCCTCCGAGAACCAGGCGCTGACCGGGGACTAACACCCCCTCCCTTACCCGTGGTCACCAGGCGACAACCTGACCAGCAGCCCCGTGGAGACAGGTGACCGGGGACTGGACCTCGCCAAGCAGCAAAGGACCCGGGGTCCCCCCTCCTTACACGGACGACATGTTTATTGTCTGACCCCGGGGCTGAGATTCGCCCAGTCAGCCGGCACCGTCTCCTCCGGACTCTTTAAAACATGCATACTTTTAACGCAAAAGCAAAACCACCTTAAAATGTTTGCCAAAAATTAGAAATAGTATTTATGGCCTAAACCTGAGATGTGTCAAATGTCTACCAGACGGTGAACATTCAGAGATGGTGGAGCCTCCCTGGTGACGCAGGGGTTACGTCACAGCAGGATCAAACTGTTGCCAGTCCGGGGGTTGAGTTCGATCCCCAGCCAGGGAGCGACCCACATGGCGCAGCAGACCTCTCCTGGCTCCCCGCTGCTCCCCTCAGCAGGGGATTTCAGTAGATCTGCCTGTTCTGCTCCCCACTCTGTCTCTGGTGAATCCCCTCACCCCCCACACCTCTGGCCTGTACCCCAAGTTCTTGTATGCATAAATAATAAGTCTTAAAATAGGTAAAAGTTCATGAAAGAAACACCAGAAAAACTCACAGAAATGTCCAGCCAATGAAGCTGATATAAATCTCCTGTGAACCCACACATGGGGCACCAATCACCAGGCCACAGTGATATTTTACTAGCAGGAGACTCTGTCCTCATGACCCAAGGACCATATGAAACTCTTTATGCTGGGAAGACGGAAGGAACGTTTCTCTACAGACTGTTTTGAAACACGTGCACACAGTGGTCAATGCTCTTACACCACCAGCCTGAGAGTCTGCAGGGAGATAACAGGGGTGACTTGGAAGCCAATGAGCAGGAGCTAAAATTGAACTATTTCAGCATCTTCCACGCCAGCTGGGGGAAACGCCCTGAGCCCTGGCAGCCTTGAGGAAGGAACAGCTACTGGGTCTGGGAAAGCAGAAGTTCTCAGGCTGACACGGTGGGGGGTGGCCCCGACATCCAGATTAGGAGGTACAAGAAGAGACCCAGGCTGATTCCCCTGGGTGGAGGCCCCAGAACCGTGACAGCTCCCTGGACATCAGTGGCGCCCCGGAGTGGACACGGGGACCTACTGCATCACCCAGGGGAGAAGGTTTTTGGGGGTCAATGTTTCAGACCCTGGAGCTCTCTGTAATGTGACAGGTGTGGAATGGAGTCAAGGGGGGGTCCCAAGGGAAAGCTGGAGGGGATCCCCTGCTTCACACTGGAAGAACACAGTGGACAGACCTGGGCAGGCGGGGGCGGGCGACCTGACACACATTGCACCTAGGGACACTCAGGTCCCGTTCCAGGCCGTATCTGTCCCCCCAGCGCTGACCCACAGGCCGGACATCCACCTCCAGGGGCCCCTCCAGTCCGGCCGGCCCAGGAACATCACCAGTACAGCACCCTGAGCCTGTGGCAGGGGTGTGTGCCCCGCCTTCTCCTGGACAGGGGTCAGCCTCAGCGCCACGGGGACCGACTCCCCGGTGCTCACCCTCAGCCCGGGGCCCCAGCACCACGGCTCCAGCCTCACCTGCCGGGTGACCTTCCCCGCAGTGAACATGAGCACAGAGACCACCGTCCGGCTCAGCGTGGGCTGTGAGTGTGGGGCCCGGGGTCCCCCGGGCGGCAGTTGTAGGAAGGGGAGACGCGGGGTCTGGGGTCTGGACATGCTCATCCTGCCGGGAGGAGGAATAGAGGCCCCTGGCCATATCCTCCCTGTCTCATGCTCCTGGCGGAAGGCCAGCTGACGGAGAACAATTCTGTCTGTCTGCGCAGATGCGCCCCAGGACCGGACCATCCAGGTGATCAGGGAAGAAGGCTCAGGCAGGGAGCGAGGTCACCGCTAAAGGTGTAGGGAAAGTGGGGTCTGTCTTGACCCTTCAAAGCAGAGCCGGGGTGAGAACACACATGGAAAAAAGGCCTTTGCCAGGTGGGGGCAACAGTGTTGGGAACACCCACCGGGTCTTTAGCTCACACTCGGGCTCCCCTGGCCAAGACCCTGCTCCCTGGGGTGTTCTCTGGTCGCTCCCTTTTCTTATGATGTGTTTGTCCCCAGCGCAGTTCTATCTCCTCCCCCCAATTCTGCCCTCATGCTCCTTCTGATCTATCCACCTCCTTAGCAACTGCCTCCTGCTACAACTTACTCTTTAAAATACTGACCATAAAATTGGCCTCAGTCAGCAGGGGCTGCAGAACAAAATGCCACAAAGGGGGTGATCCAACCTCACAGGGTGAACCCTAATAAAGGCCTGAAATCTCCCTCTGCAGGACCTGAAGCCCTGGGCAACGGCTCTTCTCTCCCAGTGCAGGAGGGCCAGTCCCAGCGCCTGGCCTGTGTGGTCCACAGCAGCCCCCCCGCCAGGCTAAGCTGGCTCGGGGGGAGCCTGACCGTGAAGTCCTCTCCAAGCCTAAACTCCGTGGGTGCGGGAGGCGCGTGGGAGCACCCCCAGACCCTGGAGCTGGCCGGGGTGCGCCTGGAGGACCACGGGAAACTCCTCTGCCGTGCTCAGAACCCCCTGGGCTCCCAGGAGGCCTCCCTGAGTCTCTCTGTGGAGAGTGAGTCAGCACCCCCGGGGCTTCTGCTGCCCACAGAGGGGAGAGGCTGCCCTGATGTCCCCATCACCCCCACAGCACCCCCCATACACAGTGGTGGGGCCTCTCCTGCTCCTGGGGGACCAGAGTCTGCTCTGCAGCTGCCCCTCCCTGCGCTGGAGCGGGTGGGGGCTGCTCCGGGAAGGGACACTGACCTGTCCCTGGGGACAGGAGAGGGGGAAGGGTCTCATCAGACAAAGGGGCAGCAGCTTTCAGGGTCCACTGTGGTTGGCTGGGAGGGCTTCAAGGAGACAGAGCCTGCACCCTTAGAGGTGGGCCCCGAGGACAAGTCCTGGAGAGACGTGGCAACTCGCGGGCCTGGGTGATTCCCTGGGTGTCTGGTATCTGCTCAGGGGACAGGAGTCACCCAGGTCCCCTTGACCCAGACCCAGCAGCAGCCAGGATGTGGGTGGTTCCGGGGGCCGTCGGGGGAGCAGGAGTCTCCGACCTGCTCGCACTCTGCCTGGTCTTCTTCATGTGAGTCAGGGTCTCCCTGAAGACCTCCCAGTCTGGGAGAGGACTGGGGAGTGGGGGTAGAGGCGTCTGAAAGACGCCAGAGCTCCCGCCCGGGGCTGGCGGCCTGGGGGTGAGTCAGGGGCTGTGATGCTGAAACGCCCCAGTGAGTCTGTCCCCTGGGGTCTCTGCCCAGAGCCGCCCCCACCCACTTCCA